TATATACTATCTATAATAATAAACGCATAATATGCTAATTAGACTGGACAGCCAAACGACCTTCTGGACGACCTTCTGGACAAAGTTGGGGCTGCGAGGGCCGAGCCTGTTGCACGAATTTCGTGCATCGGGCCTCTAGTAATATATATAATTATATATAATGTATATGTGTTCTTTTTGTTTTCTTTACAATAAAAGCTATTCCTGCTGCCTCTCTCTTCCTCTTCTCCTTTACCACTAATTAACCTAATTTTTTGTACCAATCTGTTCATCATAATTTTTAGCACTGTGTATTTAGTAGGTACATATTTCACTCAAGTGTGCAAATTAATTGGCTCATTTTTTTCTAATTAGATAAAATTTTTTAAAATGAGATTTATTCTCTTTTTTTTTTAAATTTTTAGCCTGGCCAATGTGGTTCGGTGGTTGAGCATCAACATATGAACCAGGAGGTAATGGTTTGATTCCCAGTCAGGGCATATGTCTGGGTTGCGGGCTTGATCCCCAGTGTGGGACGTGCAGGACTTTTCCGGATCCCTCTCTCCAGCATATCATCATGTTGCAATTTCCCTCATGTTAAAAAAAGAAAAACAGCCCTGACCGGTTTAGCTCAGTGGATAGAGCATCGGCCTGCGGACTGAAGGGTCGCAGGTTCGATTCTGGTCAAGGGCACATGGCGGGGTTGTGGGCTCGATCCCCAGTTGGGGGCGTGCAGGACATAGCCGATCAATGATTCTGTCTCATCATTGATGTTTCTACCTCTCTCTCCCTCTCCCTTTCTCTCTGAAATCAATAAAAACGTATTTAAAAAATATATATGTGTGTGTACACACACACACACTCATATCCCCCAGTCTGTTTCAGCTAGCTTGCAGCCAATAATCCTCAGCACCTTTTGCACATTGTTTACTTTCTCATAAAAGGAGGACCTTAGCCAAAAAACATATATTCATAACCCTAGACACAGACAACAGTGCGGTAGTGGCTAGAGGGAAGTGTGGGCTGGGGCTGGGACTGGGACTGGGGCTGGGGTTGGGGCTGGGGCTGGGGCTGGGTGGAGGTGGGCAAACTGAGGGAAATAGAAACATACGTAATAGTGTCAACAATAAAAATAAAGTAAAACAACAACAACAACAACAACAAAGCTTTAGGCTATAATGCTTCTAGGGCTCCTTCTAGTTCTTGTACCCTAGAAATTTTCCTGGGCTAAGTGAAAATTCTTAGCAGTTTCCGTGTAATATGTGCAGCTTCCTAAGGAGCAAGCTCACAAGAGTGTTGCTCACACGGAATCTGGTGCTCTTTGACCAGCTGGATTGTTTCTGCTTACATGTGCAGAAGGGGGTGGTGCTATTGCAACTGGGGCATCAGGCTTTCTTGTCCATGAAGACAGTTACTGTGTGTGTGTGTGTGTGTGTGTTTTACATAATGGGCACAGCTCAAACCCTCATAAATCTTTTTCAATATATCTTACTTGATATCTTTAGAGTTATTTATTATCACAGTCAAACAAAACAAGGTCTATCAAGCCCAGGATGTTTGACCCTTAATTGTGTGTGGGATTAACTTAATTTAAAATTTGAAATTTGTTATAGAATTTGGTGTATGTGTTAGGAAGATGAATATGTATTTTACTATAGAAGAGAAAAATAGGAATAAGACTAGTTCCCTGAAAAATATTATGTGCTGCTTGATGCTGGTGGTGTGATTTCTTCAGATTCTAGATTATAATAATTGTTTAGGACTAGGAGAGAATTTGAAAACTGATTTATTCTAGATAAATAAGAATCTCTTCTAATTTAAAAAGATCTAGGAAAAACTATTTTATTCTCTCAGTAATCAGCTTCTACTTTTGTCAGTTTTCCTGTTTGGAAATTTGATGTATTTTAAAGAGCTTGGACTTTGGATTTATTAGACCCAGACTGAAACTGCAGCTCTTCTACTTGGAACTTACCTAACCACTTAGGGTCCCCCCTTTTCTGATCTGTAAGTAAGTGGGGATTTCTACCTCAAGGGTCTTCATGTTGATTAAAGTGCAATAGTGCCTGGGCCAACACCTCATATAGTAGGTGTTAAATAGGTCTTAGTTTCCCTTTTTATTTCCAATCTGAGTCTTTTATGCCAAAATAAAAGCTCATTTACTTTTATTTTATTTAGAGGTGGCAAGTTGCTTTCAATGAAGCATCCGGACTTCTTTGCTATTAATAACTTTTTACTAAATGGTCTCATTTCTTTTTACTTTTACTGGATATCATTTTCCTTCTCTTTATTCAACTAGGTGGCTGGCTCTTTTCCAGGCGTTCTCCAAATTCTTCACATTCCTTTTAAGCCACAGGTCTGGCAAAGAATTCTAGCAAATAACTGATGAAGACAGAGTGTATTGGGCTGACGACCACATGTTGTGTAACTGTTAATGCAAACCAGTGTTACGATGACTCTTGTAACAGTAGTGAAGCATTTCCTACCCACATTTACAGTGTTGACTAGGCATAGAGGCATTTGC